ATGTGGGTGAGACCCATGGGGAGGTGACAATGGCAGCTTTTATCTTGATGTTGATTTTGCTCTTTTCCTTCCGGGCTTGTCTGGTTGTTTGTGACCCTTTTCTGTGGGTCCCCACTGGAAGATGCTTTAGACTTGTGGTAGGCTTTGGGGCCTTGCTCTGGGCCAATCCCATATGGATGGACTTTTACCCACAAGGGGACAGGTAACTTTGGGTGCTTCATTTAGAAACTAGACTCTTTGCCTTACCTGTATTGTTTCCTAGTTTTATTAAAAATCTTTCCCATTAGTCTCATGTGTTTTGTGTTGATGCGGCGGATGGCAGAACCCATTTAGAATAGGCAGGTTTGCGGGGTTTGGGCTGCCCCTCTCCCTGCTCTATAACAGATTCACTGCTGAGGGGAACAGTGGGCGAGACAGGAGAGGACCGCCTCGCCATGTGGGTTGCTCCCTGGCCAGCCGGGGATAGAACTCGTGCTGCAGAGGCTGCGGATTGTTTCATAGTGCGGTGTGCTTAACCCCTTGCACCACCAGGGAGGCCACTTTAAATTGATTTAACATTCATTCCCCAGAAACAATGTTATTAATAACAATCAAATTCTTCAGTGAATTAACAGTGCCCATTTAATCTACAGTGATTAGATTAAATGCACTGAAGTGTAAGTCTGAGCCCCTCAGAGTTCTAAATCCTAAACTGTTTTATCTTTATTTTAAAGATTTATTTATTTATGCATACAAGAGCTGGGGATCAGCGGGCAAGGCAGGAGATGTTTGCTGCACCATATGGGGGTTAGCTGCCTGGTGGAGGATTGAACTTGTGCTTCGGTGGCTGCCTATAGCTTCATAGTGCTGAGACTCAACCCCTTGTACTACCAGGGAGGCCCCCTGTTTTATCTTTAAATATTGAATCTGGAGAAAACCTGAATCTGATTTAGCTAGCCTGAGTTTTCTTGTTCCCACTACCAATCTTGTTTAAATTTCAGCAATGCATTTGAAGTAGGTTTTATCCAGAATCTAGTTGTTTAATAGAAAAGTTTTTCAGGAAGCATACCCCAGCATATTGCTAGACCAGAAATGTCCCATTCACTCTTTAATTTACTTTGTCTTACTTTTTTTTTTCTATTCCTCCAGTTTGCCAAAGTTGCCAGTAACCTCCTTGTTAACAAAGCTGAATACATTCTGTCTTTGTCTTATTCAGCCTCTCGGTGCCATGGACACAGCTGACCATTCATTTATTCTCTCATCTTGTATGAGCCAAGCAATGTTTTAAATACTAGGGAATGGAAAAAAACATGTAAAAATCCTATAGATAGGAAATACAACAAACAATAAATGTAACAAGCACATGTTAAATAATATGGCAAGAAATAATAAACACAACAGAACAACATTTGGAGCAGGGCAAGAAGCATCAGGATTCCTGGGAGAGAGGTTGCAATATTAAAAGGGATGAAAAGGGTAAGTCTCAAGATGATATATGAGGAAATACTCAAAGGACTTAAAAGAATGAGTCATGAGGATATGTGGGGGAGGAACATTTTCAGATGGTGAAAGCAGTCAGTATGAAGGCTTGAGGTAGGATTATGCCTGGTGTTTTCAGGAAGAAGAAAAATTCAATATGGCTGAAACAGTTTAAGTATGGAAAAGAATAATAGAATATGTGATCAGAGAACGAAGGGGAGCTAGCAGATCACGTAGTACCCTATGGGCCACTGTAAAGACTGACTTTTACTAAGATAAGAAGCTATTTTTGAAGAGTATTAGGACATAGAATGATCTGTGTTTTTATTTTTTAAAAGATTTGTTTATTGAGCCTCCCCGGTGGCGCAGTGGTTGGGCGCTGGGTTGCGAGGCTGCCCACAGCCTCTGCAGCGCCGGTTCAATCCCCGGCTGCTCCCCGGCCACTGGAGGAGGGTCCCGCATGGCGCACAGACCTCTCCTGCCACCCGCTGCTCCCCTCAGCAGTGCACTTCGGTCCTTCTGCCTGTTCTGCTCCCTGCTCTGGCTCTGGTGAATTCTCTCACCCTTCCGCACTTCTGGCTGTACCCAGTGCTTGTATAAATAAATAAATCTTTAAAAAAAAAAAAAAAAGAAAAGAAAAAGCTGAAGGGGCAGAATCCTATACTACCAAACACAACCAACATAAAGCAAACCAAAATTTTCTAAATAAAAATAAAAAAGATTTGTTTATTTAAGCTTACAAGAGCTAGGGTGTATGCCAGAGGTTGGGGTTTTAGGGGGTGAGAGGAATCAACAGAAACAGAGCGGGAGGCAGAACAGGCAGACTGACAGAAATACACTGCTGAGGGGAGCAGCAGGCAAGACAGAAGTCTGCTGAGCCATGTGGATTAGCTCTCTGGCCAGATCCAGCTCATGCTGCAGTGGCTGCTGATAGCTTCATAGTGCAGGATTTAACCCCTTGCACAACCAAGGAGGCCCTAGTCTATGTTTTTAAATGATCTTGCTTTGTTGATAGAAATACATAGGATGTCGGCCTCCCCTGGTGGCGCAGCGGTTGAGCGCTGGGCTGCAAGTCTGCCCGGGTTAGTTCCCTGGCCGCAGGCGAGGGTCCCACCAAAAAAAAAAAAAAAAAAGAAAAGAAAAAAAGAAATACATAGGATGTCAAGGATGGAAGCAGGAAGACCACTTAAGAGGCTATTGTAGCCATCCATCACCTTGATTTTTTTTCCTCTCTTGGGTCTATTAACAGATGTCCAGAGTTTTCTCCTGCTTAACTACTCCTCCAGCTTCTCTTCTCCAACTTTCAAATGTTGGAATCCCAGAATTGGTCCTGAGATCCTTCTTTTATCTAGGCCCATTCATTGGATGATCTCATGCAAACTTAGGACTTTTAGTAGTTTTAATAAACATAGAGTTCCAGCCCTGAGCTCATATTCATTAATCCAATAGCCTACTTGCTATCCAAACAGGAGCATTTCATTTCTCCCCAACCCTTTCCTCCCCATATCCCAGGTTTCCATACCCCAGCAAATGGCACTGCATTTGCTAAACCAAAGAACAGTTATCCCTAATGCCTTCTTTTTACTCACTTCTTTGTTAATCCATCTGAAGAAGTATTCTTCTACCCCTGAGTTATTAAATTATTTCTTCCAAAATGCTATGTATTAAATAACTTCAAAAATCTCTGTAACTTATACAATGAGTTATTTTTCCCAGTCACTAAACAGCTTTGGTGAACATATTGAGGTACTGGAAAGATGATGTGCCCGGAGAGGACATGAAAGCTCTGTGCCCCTTCCCTCATATCCTGTATATTTCTTCCATTTGCATGTGCCTGATTTGTATTATTTATAATTAACTAGTAAATGTAAGCAAAGTGCCTTCCTGAGTTCTGTGTTATTCTAACAAAGAATTTAACATGAGGAGGGGGTTGTAGGGACCATGGATTTATAAATAAAAGTATATGTGGCAACCTGGGACTTGTGACTGGCATCTAAATTGGGGGCAGTCATGTGAGATTAAGCCCTTAACCTGTGGGTTCTGTGCTAAGACCAGCAGTGTCAGAATCAAACTGAATGGAAGGATAGCTAACTGGTATCTTAGAGAACTAGAGAATTGCTTGATATAGAAAGTACATACTTGTTCAATGTCAGAAGCGTGAGTAAAACAACTCATACTATCATATCAGTCCCAGTTTAAAACACTACCCTGGCTTCCTTTTACAAGAGATGGATAATGCCATCCGTTATCCTTCCCTACCTAGCTCTCCCAAAAAACACATCTGGTACCACTCACTTTCCTTTGGCTACTTCCTTTTTCTTCCCAAATATTCCAGTGCTTTTCCACTGTAAGACCTTTGTACATGCTATTCCCCTTGACTGGAATGCTTTTTTTCAAAGATTTTGGTGTAGTGGCTCTTTCTCATTCTCAGTTTCAGCTAAAGTGTTACCTCCTTAGAAAGGCTTCCCCCAACCACTACACTTAAAGACCAATTCCTCCTGTTAGCAGTCACCCCTCCCCCCATTATGATTCTTTACTATCACTTTGTTTATTCTTTTCAGTGAATCACTCTCTGAAATTACCTTGCTCTTATTTTGTTCATCACTGATCTCTAGCACGTCGAGGGGTATGTGGCACATATTAATTTAGTAGCTTCTAAAATTCCATTGAGGGCCTCCCTGGTGGTGCAAGGGGTTAAGCACCGCACTATGAAACAATCTTCAGCCTCTGCAGCACAAGTTCGATCCCCGGCCGGCCAGAGAGCAACCCACATGGCACAGCACACCTCTCCTGATTCGCCCGCTGCTCCCCTCAGTGGTGTGCTTCGGTCCTTCTGCCTGCTCTGCTCCCCGCTCTGGCTCTGGTGAGTTCTCATACCCTCCCGCCCTTCTGGCTGTACCCAGTGCTTGTAAAAATAAATAAATAAATATTTTTTAAAAAATGTTAAATAAATAAAATTGGATCATCATGTCATCAAAAAATAAAAAGTCCTTGTTAATAAAGAAGAAATTGGGGACTGGCATTGTTTCAGTGTAAGTTACAGCATTCTTACAAGTTGTGCTTCTGATGCACTAATCTGTAGGAATGAGAGATCTACGTGAGACTCCTTCTACCCCCCAGTACTGATGAGCCTGCTTACCTGGTTTGCCTGTTTACTTATTCCATTCTTCTCTTTCACTAACGTATGGGATAACTTACTTACAATTTTTGTTCACTGCCTATCTCCCCACCCCACACCACTGTGAACTTTGGGAAGACAAGGATACTATTCAGGTTTTTCTGGTACTGAATAGGTGCTCTACCAATTGTGAAGTGAATCAATGAAAAATTGAATAAATATCTCAAAGAGAGAAAGAAATCTCGGAAGATCCTAAAGAGTAAGGTCACTCTCACCTTTGCACTGTCTATATTCCAAGACATAATGGGGGCATAACTTGCATGAAGTGTAAATGTTTACTAGTTTATTTATTCTAAGAATGGTTTTACTTATATATCTGTAAACTTTTTGTGTGCATGTTGTTGTGAATCCTTTTTCATGCTAGAGCTTTCACAGGAGGAATTCAGCTTAACATTTGTGTCACCATGATCGGACCATCTCTGCTGAAGGTGAGCTCCATCCTGTGAAGACTGTTTCCTCTCTCATTGGAGACTACTTTTCCTCTTCCCCTGAGAAACACCCACTAGTTGTTTAAATGCTGGATAAACATTTAAACATTTAAATTTATCATCAAAGAGGTACTGGAAGAGGAGCAGCAGAGTACAAGAACTAAAAGTATTCTTTGGGGCAGTGGACACTTTAAAAGATTCCCCATTAACATCTTTATTACTCTTTTAATGTCAGGTTTTCTCAGTTCTATAACATTTAAATATTCTGTGCTGGATTACTTATCCTTTTGAGCGCCCTATCACAGGTGTTTATTGTATTGTAAAAAATACAATAAATGATGTTCTTTTCTTTACTGTGCTGGGGAGAGAAAAATATTCCCTTGAGTTTGAACAGTCATGCTTTTAAATTACTTGGAAGTGATTGCATATGAATCTTCATATTAGCTTGTATGTTTCTCATTTAAAAGAAAACATAAAAGAAGGAAATTAGCTCATTAATTATTTAAAATACTTGGTGCAACTATTCCTTATAAATTAATCCAGGCACTTGGAAGACAATTACACTCAGTGTTAATATCATTGCCAACCTTTTCCAGTATGCTGCACTCCAAATACTATTGTGTTTTCATTGACAACATTCACTATTACATATGCATATGAAAACAGGCATTTTCATCAGAATTACAGTAATAGCATTAAGAGATTATTATTTTTTCTAATTTCCTTGGAAGAAAATTCACTTAAATTAGATTATTTATTACTTGACTGCTTTCCTATCTTGCTTGTGTGTTTTCGTAACTGGAGTCCATGAAAGTATAAACTTCAGAATAAAAAGCTTGATTTTATACATTAATGATTTCAAATAAAAGAGGAGTGCTAGTTTGTGCATCACTTCTTTCGAGAAAGTTAAGTCTGTGTTCTGCTTAGGAGAGATAACACTTTTTGTCCCTGTAGGTGGCCCCCCTGGTGTAGCCATTAGTTGCTAATTACTTGCAAACAAATAAACAATTAACTCCTCTGGCTGCTGGCTGGGCCAGTGTTCATTGACATGCTAAAACTTTCTAAGACAGGATTTTAATTAGTGACGTTCTTAAATCCAACCCCCTTGTCAGCTGAGCCATAAGGTGAACTGCTGGAAGATCCCAGCCTTGTACACGTGGGGCAGTGCTAGCTAAGAGACACGGAGAGGCCAGAGCTGTCGCTCCATCCAGCCCATGCAAGGATGTCTCCCAGTCTTCAGGAAGGTGCTCGACTTGGCGAAGGCAAACCTTCACCCTGCTCCTTTTCAATTGAGAGCATCTTAGGACTGGATCAGAAGAAAGACTGTGTTCCATCAATGAAACCCCACAGACCCTGGACAGACACCTGTGGCTCATCAGGTATGCCACAATTTAATTTTTTAAACTTTGTTATTTCATTCTCAGTCTTTGGGTTTTATTTCTGCATAAAGTCAGAGAGAAACCATAATAAGGATATCAATAATGATATTCAGAGACCAGAATCTTTTCTGTAACGAAGGGTTTGACTTATGAGAGGTTCATTTTTTTGTGAAACTGGAAGAATCCCACTTAGAAAATTTAAGACAGCTTCCTGAAATTACTTCCTATAGAACTCTTTGGAATATAAAAGTGGACACCTAAGATAGGGTGTATTTTTCTGTTTTTAGGGAACGATGTTAACCTATGTCTACATGTCCTGGGCCTTCCTAATGGAATCTCATTCCCTAGTACTGTGGATCACTCAGTGCCAGAAGAAAGAGTTTTGAAATATGAAAATTGCTTTTCAGTCTCAGAAAGACTGTCTTTGAAAAGAGAGTTGAGTTGGTATAGAGGCCGAAGACCAAGAACTGCCTTTACTCAAAACCAGGTGGGAAGTTTTTTCAACCAATAATGATAATACAAAGGCTTTAACCCTGTTGAAGAAAGTTCATTTGCTTTAGGATCTCAGTTTAGAAGCCTTATTCAAGACACAATAGCCTATCATTTTTCAAACAGTTTCTGGATAGTCATTTAAAAAAAGACATACAGATGAATTGTTCAAGACTTAAATACAATAATTTTGTTGTACAAATTAAATCCGTTTTATGATGATGAACCAAATATTAACATTTTAAAGAATGATTTCCTTATTCTTAGATTGAGGTGTTGGAAAATGTCTTTAGAGTAAACTGTTATCCTGGCATTGATATCAGAGAAGACTTAGCTCAAAAATTGAATCTAGAAGAGGACAGAATCCAGGTAATTTTCAAATTTAGTTGTTAATCATGATGATTGAAATGTTAAGAATATTGAAATGTTTCTGAGACCTGTTTTATTTTTCCTTAATTTTAGATCTGGTTCCAAAATCGACGTGCAAAACTGAAAAGGTCCCATAGAGAATCACAATTTCTAATGGCCAAAAATAATTTCAACACAAATCTCCTGGAATAGATAAAAACTAAACATGTGAAATTATCTTCCAGATGCAGTACATGAAGAACATGTGTTAAAATGTGATGTTTTCTTTTCTACATTTTAATTTGAGTATTGCCCTTTTTTTTCCTGAAAATATATTGTAAATAATTACTAGTATAATATGGCACCCATTATATTTGCGCACTTTTAGTTACGGTAAAGACTTTTCATATATATTTTAATAAACATTTTCAGAAATGACAACTATTTTTAAGTCAACAATTTAATAAATTAGTTTGCAAAATAAGTAAACTCACGGCTAAGTGACTCCACAATCAAGATTCCATTTACAAATATTTCAAGTAAAATAAACTGAGGAATGGCACAAAGTTTAGTTGAGTTGGGAGTTAGTTGTTGCAGTTAGTTTCCTTCAAGTGCATTTTGAAACATTATCCTTAAATATGCTATAGAATGTGATTTATTCATTTATTCATGGATCTGTAGTTTCTTTTTATTTTTGGCATAAGACAATAAGAATTTCTTACTATGGATCAAAACAAATACTTATTGCATGCCGGCTTCAAATAGCTTTTTTCTTTAAAGCAAAGTTATTGTGCCAAAGTAGAGATATGAAAGTACCAGTTATTCCTATTCATACCATTGGTATTACATTGCACAAAAGAAGTGGCAGATAAATGCAAATTTTAATATATTTTTCCTAGTTCATTTAATGTACTAGGAAAATGCTTCATTATCATCTGGCTTATATCTGTATCTAGTTTAATGGTTCCTAATCAACTGCATATCATATTATAAGTAATGCATAGAAAGAAAAAGTAGGACAACTGACCTGCCTTTTGGTATGTGTTCAGTCATAGTTACTAGAAAAAAATCAGGGTACTTTCTAAGTGATAAAGACTGCATTTTCTTTACATTTCCCATTTTCTCATTATATCTGTCAGTTAAAGATGGGAATAGGATTAGTACCACAAGAATGGAATCCTCTCCACTGGAAATTTGGGTATTTGTCTTCTCGTTAATTAAGGGAAGACCACGAAAGTGGGCATTCTTTTTGAAATTTTAACTTGAGGACTCTCTGACTTTGTCCCCTGGAAGCCATATTTCAGTTTCTCTCTTTTGAATTGAATTCTCCCTGTTCCCCTTCTTTCATTCTCTGTCCTTTTCTCTACCAGTGATGACCAGAGTAAAAGGTTCTCACTGAATTATTAAATCTATACCTACCATCTATTTTTTCTTCTTTTTCTTTTTTTGTTGCAGGAGGAAGACTAGAGGTAGTGTGCATACTATTTCTGAGGAAAAGTAGCATCGTTCAGGTTTAGAGCTTTTTAAAATAATTTACTGAAAGCACATTTTGAGTAAAGAGTGGTGCCCCAACAACTGGCCAGGCACAAGTTGTGCTTATTCTGTTCTGTTCCGTTATTGCTGAGATGGAGGGGAAAGAAGCGTAGAGGGAGCCTGGCAGTAACAGGAAGACCAGAGAGATTAAATGATTCCAAGAGAGTCTTTACAGTCAGACTGCATCACTTTTTCCATATAAAGAGCTGCTTCTATTGGCATAAAATATCAAGCACTATATATGAATTATATTTGTTGATACTTATCCACCACAAGCTTTTGCTCTTCATTAGATTCCTGTGAAATTTAGTTGGAGGACTTGAAGTCAGCAGGAATTGATTGGAAGGCAAAGTATCACATCATTGTGCTTTTCAGATAGCCTTTTATTTTAATCCCAAAGGTACTGTTGAAAATTCAAACAGTAAAAATAGAGTCAAATTTCCCTCAAATCTCATCCTTAAGAAATAATTACCATTAAACATTTTATAGATGTTTTTGTGCATAGAAGTGTTTTTCTGATCTCTTGCCATGTCAGACATATAGCTCTGTCTAGTTCAAGGTAAACTTCAAGGTCTGTATATAACAAACTATTCCACAATATTGCTTCTTAAGCATTTTTGAAGTAGTGCTTGTCACAGATTGAAATTTCCAAAGAAAAATCATCTAGAGTTTATCTAAAATTAATTTAACCTCCAAATTTCTGAATAGATTGAGGATTTTATATAAAACTATAGATGCTAGGAAAAAGTAAAACATCAACAACATGTAATACATTATTATTTTTAAATTTTAATTTATTTTTAATATAAAACCAATCACACCTATATTACAGTCACAATGTAATTAATTCATGTGGTCCTAAAATTTTATTTTGTCTATAATTGAAATAAATGATGTTTATAAATGGATTACATGTTTATATCTGAAATCATTAATATAGAAATGATACATTTGTAACTGAGCTGTAACAATTAGAAGTCAGAAAAAAATGTAATACTAGAATTGTAATATTAATACAATAACCATGAATTATTGCACAGCCTTTTATATTTTCAGATACTAATGACAGACTATCAGATCTATTATAATTTTGTAAGGTGAATCCTTAATGTATAAGAATATTCAAAAATCAAGATACTATGAAGATCATTAGTATATTTCCCCTAAAATAATTTTAAAAACCTAGACGATAAAAAACTAATTTTGTTAAAGGAAATAATGAGTCAGCAACTTTTTTTTAAATTATAATTGCTAGTATTTTAGAAAGAACATAATGATATTCAGAGGGAAAAACTGGATACTAGGTTTGAGGAAAAATTAAGCAAGATGAAAATGTAAATGAAAACCCAAGATAGAATTATCTTTCCCTGAAAACACACAGGCTCTAATCCACAGCTTATCTCTGCTCCTGGTTAATTCCAAGCCTTTGTCTCCATTAATGCCCAGGACAAGGTGAACGTAGTAACAAATCAAACTAATGCAGTCAGGCTAATACCTGGAGCGTCTCTATTATCTGACAACTCCCTAAATGAGGTTATTTGGTCTCCTGTAATGGCATTTGTCTTTTGTGAAGCCAGCTAGACAAAGCCCATCACTAAAGAGTGCTGGTGGAAACAATGGCTGTGTGTGCTGGTGGTCAACTTTAGAGTTAATCAGTGTTAATAGCCGCTTTCTTTCACCTCCTGCATCTTATCACACATCACACGAATAGCATAAATCCCCCATTACTGAGCCCAACACACAGCATCAACCTGGGGATTATGTCAACTTCTAAGGGCAGGAAGCTATGCTAGTCCATTTATTTGATGTGGAACTCAAATCAAAGTATGACAAATGCTGACTTGTCTCCATTTCACAGAGTACCATTGGACTAAAAACACTGCCAAGCACCTTTGGCTAAATTTAATGTTCATTTTGACTCTCCTGTCAAAACCTAGATACTAAGTTTGAGGAAAAATTAAGCAAGATGAAAATGTAAATGAAGACCCAAGATAGAATTATCTTCCCCTCAAAACACACAGGCTCTAATCCTGTATCCTGCTAGGTTATCACTCCACAGCAGCCTAGCAGCTCTTGGTGGCCCCTACCACTCCTCCTTCCTCCTCTCCTCACCCATGCCCATTTTCTTCTCTGTTTTCTTATTCCTACCCTATTCCTTTTCCCCTGATGCTTTGGTAAGCTTATTGGCATTAACAGGCATTATTGAGTCCCACAAATGAAACTCCAGGCTAAAAGGTTTGTTGTTTACTTTCTACCTAGTAGAGCATTACCAGCATTTTAAGATCTTCTTGTCTGTTCTCTTCCTCCAGATCTCTGAGGATGGACTAATGAATCATCTCCTTGATTTAGTATTTTATGACATGGTGATTTTTTTTTTAAAGATTTATATATTTATGCATACAATATCTGGAGTACAGACCAGAGGTGTGGGGAGGGGTGAGAGGATTCACCAGAAACAGAGTGGGGAACAGAACAGGCAGACTGACTGAAGTACACTGCTGAGGGGAGCAGCGGGCAAGACAGGAGAGGCCTGCTGTGCCATGTGGGTAGCTCCCTGACTGGGGATCGAACTCGTGCTGTAGTGGCTGTGGGTAATGTCTTAACCCCTTGTGCACCAGGGAGTATGTATATTTGAAGTTACCAATAGCCTGGGTGAGGGTGGGGGCCTTGGGATGAAAAGCCAGGGGAGATTACAGAGAGACAGTCCGAAGGGAAATTTGACAGGTTTTTTAAATGAAGTGTGAAAAGGAGAACACAGTGAATTAAAAGTGGTACAAGCCTTGGGACATTTTAAAATTTCTAAAGATGCAAGAAGTGGATCATGTTTAACCCAGCAACTTATTCACTCAGGTAGTTGACTTTACTTACCTGCTTTTGCTTCTGATGCTGTCATGAGAAATTTTCTTTCTTAGCAATTTTTCATTTATTGATTTCTCATTGTTTTAATTTGAAGTTTAACTTTTGGTATATTAATTGATAACTTGTATTTTCTTATCTGGCCAATCCTACTTCGTCTGTTTCTTTCTTAGCAGTCTGTGGTAGGTTGAATACTTTTTGCAATTCTTTGTGTCCTGAATATTTTAAAATTATATATATGTCCATTAGCATGTACCATCCATTACAGAGGGCAGAAAATATTGATGTTAGGTTTGGTCATGAGATTTTCTTTAGCCAACGCAATGTGGTCAGAAATGATGCTGCACCACTTCCAGGGCAGAGCCTCCAGAGTCACTGTGTCTTCCCCTTGCCTGCTTGTACTTCTGCTGTAGCCAAGAGGAAAAGGTATCCTGAATAACTGCTGTTCTTTTACACTGGACTCCAAATTGAAAAACATGAAACAGACTTGAATCCAAATTGCAGTCTAGAGCTAAGTCCAGCTAAGCCTGCCTATATTCTTTCAATCCCCAGCCTCTAAGTGAGTTTCCAACCACTACATTTGTGGGGAGGGCTTAGGGAGCAGGTAAGACATCCTATGTTTGGTGGCTTACGTAATCAAACTCTCTTAAAAATTACAAGAATTCCTTAGAAATAATATATTATCTAAATATAAGTGATACTTTAGCTAAACAAAATTAATACCCTTGTCTATATAAATATAAGACTTTAAATTAAGTTTTTAACAACAATCACTAGGTTAAAGTTCTTTTGCCATCAGCAATTTGTAGAAGAAATCCAGTTGTATTCATTCGTTTAGAGATGCTAGTATTCCACATACAATAATTTTTATTTACACAAATCACACTAGTAGACTTAAAATACAGAATGTTGCATAAAAGAGAATCAGGCCTCCCCGGTGGCACAGAGGGTTGAGCGCCGTGCTATGAGGGTGTCTGCAGCCTCTGCAGCTCAGGTTCAATTCC